CTCAACCTTCTTTTTCTTTCTCTTAAAATTTGAGTTCTTAAGCTTATTCCTTACTGAACTTAGTTTATCTGTATACAAGCAAAGTTTTACCAACTTCTGTGAATTATTCTTACCAACCTCTGTAATTCCTTTTGTAAGTGAATACATTACAAATGGAGTTCGAACTTCTAGATCGATAGCTACAAATCTCTCATATGTTTCTTTTGATTTTTTTTGTTTTTCATATACTCACAATAAGATCTATTCATTAGTTTTTCTAAAGTATGTGAGCTTGCAATTATGATTGATCTGTTCTGATAGCCAACTGTTATTTTTTTCTTGGTCTCAAAATACAAAGCTTCTAAATTTCTTGATCCTTCCAAGTGATCATATTGGTTTTTTCTTAGTATTCTCATATAATCAGTATTTTTGAATAGGTATGATATATAAAATTTATTCCAATAATATTTTGAGAAATATTTTGCGCATATGATGATGGGTTTTCCTGATTTTGTTATCTTTTGAATTGAAATTTTTAACAGCTTCATTCACAGTTTTGTCAATTAGTTATTTGGCATATCATCATAGGCTTTTTTACTCTTCAATTTTAAATACGTGATTCTTCTCAGGAATTTTATTTTTAGAAAGTTTATTATCTTCTTACATTTATTCTCATTTTTATCTATATGCACAATCAAAAACTGTCTTTTCTGCAGATAGTCAATGATTGTATTATAGGTCAATCTTAACAGCTATCTATCACTTAATTATACATTTTTGTGCAAGGTTTGAATACAATTTTACTTTCAATGTTCTATTTACATTTTCGTCTTTTTTCTTCTTTTGTTTTTTCTTATTATTAATATTTTCTTTTTTTTTTTTCTTTTCCTTTTGTGTTTGGCTACCCTTCTTCCTTGCAATTTGCAAACGAAGATGTTGATAGTAAGAATATCTTCAGACAGCTCATGTCTGTCAATTATTAAATCATCGAAAAGAATCACGAGTTTTGTAAAGTTGTGTGTAAATTTATGCTTGAAGAATTTGTAGGTAAACCTGCATAATCAATCATGGTAGGTAGTCACAATCTCTTTGACAAGATCTTTGCATGATTGTTTTAGTAGAGTTTATAGTCTTTTGTATTTGAAGTTAATTCTTAATCTGATATCACTGAAGAGTTCATAGGTTGGAAACTTTAATATTTTGTGAAAGGTTAAGCTTTTTGAAAGTTTATTTGCGAATGGAATGCAATAACATTAAGAAATTTTTTAATTCCATTCATAATCAGTAACACATAAGAGAAATTAAAAAAAATTTTTTTATTACAGAACAAATTTTGTCTTAAAATACATAATAATAATAATAAAAAAGATTAAAACAGAATTTTATAAAAGGTACTAAAACTTTTTGAGATGACGAAATAGTATTTCTTTATCTTTATACTATTTTAAGCAGTTTAGTTTGATAATTTTCAGTTACGATTTTTGAGTCTTATATGATTTTCATTGATAACGATTAATCCCACTCGGTCGATTCAGCATCAATCCCAAAAAGTAGTTCTGATTTTTTCTTAAAATGCGGTGGCAAAGGTGCCGTTATTTCTATAGGCTGTTTTAAAATTTTACCTTCAGGCGTCCTCCAATTCTAATCGAAAAGAAAAAAAGATAAAAATCAATAATATATATATATATATGTATGTATGTTAATTAATTAATTTTCAAAGATTTTTCTTACATGTATGGCAAGCCTACTTAAGTGTAAATACATTGGTTTGGATGTTTCTGATGTGTATATTTGCTCCATGCCATACTTGAAATCTCCTAAAATAGGTGCTAAATTTGTGGGACAACAAATTTAAATTGAGATTGATATGAAAATTAAGTTTATATAAAAAATTTATATCATTAGAAAATTTTACCTTCAAGTACGTATGCACAATGTGACCGTAACTGATGTTTCCTGCCTGTTTTTGGATGTAATCTTAAATTAAAAAATTTTGTCTTCATTAGTTATTTATTTTTATTTACCTAGTAAAAAGAATATTTAGATTTTAATAACTAACCTGAGCAATGAATAATTACCCGTACCCGCAAGCACTTGATAATGCGTTATTGCAGATTTGGCCTTTTCCATCAAAAATGATCTTCGATCTAAGAATTATTCATAAATATGCATCACTTTTTTTTTTTTAAAAGTGTTATTAAATTGAAATAATCTTTTACCTAAGATACATTTAACTTTCTCATATGGTGGCTTGCCGCCATAACAAATGGGTACATCAATTTTTACTCTCGCCAAATTTCTAGGAAGAAATTTATTAACGATTGCAATATACTGAGGGAAAAAAAGAAAGAATCATTGTTTTAAATGAAAGTGCAATTAACTATACAGATTAAATTTATAATTAATCAAAGGTAATACCATCTTGTCTATTGTACTTTCGCGAAACATGTGTGACAGTTTCCCGGCGGCAGATCTAGTTCGACCAAGGACCAAAGTTCCTGTTGTATTCTATTTTTAAAAAAAAACAATTATATTATTTCAAAATAAAATGATTCAAGGCTAAAATTTTAACTATAAAAACCTTATCCAGCCTATGAACTAATCGTGGAGGGTCAGGATAATCGAACTGTAATGCTTGAAATTAAATTAAATTAATATAAATTAAATTGTTGTCATTAAAAGATTCATAGACCTAAGAAATACCATGTAATAGTCCATCAACATGTTTTAATGTTTTCGGCCCACCTTTACAGAAAAAGCAGTTGAATCATATATATATTAGTATTCAAAAATATTAAAGCTGAAAAAAAAAAAAAAAATCGATAATTATATACCTTGGGTTGCAAGACCCGCTGGCTTATTTATCACCAAAATCTCTTTATCTTGATATAAGATAAGTGATCTTATTGATTCGATTTCCTTTTCACTAAAAGACTAGTAAGAAATCATAATAATAAGTAACATAAATTTTTTGATTCCATAAATTAAAAATTAAAAAATTAAAAGAGACTACCTCTGTCTTACGTCTTTTAGGTTTGGCAAATTTTGCTTCCTTATATAAATCAAGACTTCTTATTGAAACCACATCACCAGGACGAACTTTATGTGATAAAACTTTATGTGATTTCACCCCATCATTATTTAAATCTGTGCTTTCATGCACTCGTGGTTTTAATTTTACCTAAAAAAGAAGGAAAATCGGTAATTTAAAATTAACAACGGAAAGCTAGACCAAAATATATTTGGATAATATACCTCATTTTTTCGAATTTTCCTTTGAATAATAGAAATTGGAAGCTTTGTTTGTAAATGTAAATATCGATCAAGTCTCATCATATCTACATCATCATCTTCTTTAACTACATATTCATGATATTTAAAATTCCCACTTAAAGTACTAGTGAAATTGATTTTTGATATTGATGATGAATTAAAATATCGACGCAAAGGACATACATTGTGTCTTAACGAAAACATTAAAAAAATATTCAACTTTTTTTTTAAAAATTTTTTTTTTAGATTAATCGATCAATCGATCAATCATATGATTTTGTGACACAAACACTATCAATTGCATCATACATCTCTTCGGCGAGGAAGTAAAAAGAAGAAAAATTCCCAACTAACTGAATTGATATAATCATACAAAGTACCTATTTCAATAAATGTGTATTTCGCTTTGTTTAAATTACCTTAAATATTCTGTGTGATCTTTGTTATGTCTTTCAATATTACAAATATAGATAACAAAGCAAGTTGAATATATATAAAACTGTAAATCATCATTGTTAACCTTCTCTTTCCAAAGCCATTCTTACTATTTGACGGTACGAAAAGAAAAAAATAAAAAGAAAAAAGAAAAAAAAATGTCTCGCTATCATCAACAACTTGTCTTCTCTACACAAGAACTAGCTTATGCGTTAATCTCGAGATTAGATAGGAGCAAAATCTTTCCTCCCACTTATCATACTAGGCCAGAAGATTTTATTTGTGTTGAAACGCAACACGCACAACAAAGATTTTACGTAAAAGGAACATGCTTCTTTTTCTGCTGCCAAAATGTTAAGGAAGCGGCAAACGTATTGGGGAATCAAACACATATGCGGATTATTTTCAAAGCAACTGGTATTTATTGGAGCGCTGCTACAAATGAAGAGAAGGATGTCTACAAAAATTTATATAATGCTACTCAAAACCTTTGTTTAAGAAGGAACAATAATACCATCGTTCAACAATTTTCCCACCCCCCTACTCCAAATCCTGTTTATGAAACAATGTCAAATCAGTTTAATAACGGGATTCTTTTTGACACATTTGAACCAAATTTTAATGTTTGGTAACTCCACAGTAATTTTAGATTCCATTTTTGTAGATAAGTTTTCATTGTTTCATTGTGTGTAATCGTGTACACATATTCACATAGTCATCATGATCCTGTTTCTTTTACCTTTATTTTTATTTCATAATAGAGTGATAGAAAGGGTCTATATGTAATATCATCCATCAATTTAAGCATAAAACGTCAATAATAAAAAACTTTACGTAATCACAGGTGATTATACATGTTAATAATGGTGTTTCCTGAATTAGTAATTGTTAATTGTTCTGCAATTGCATTATTTAGAGATTGGGAATCGATAAAGTTTGTCGGTTTAGTCATTATTGGAATACAATGGGTTGGAGTTTTAGTCGTTTAACCCGTTTAATTAATTATTGATGGGGCTACATTTCTTTGGAGGGAAACATCCAAATTTATTAATATAAATGCGTTACAAATTCGCTCTCTTGGCGTTCCATGAGTTACAATTTTGTAAAGAAGGTTATGCATGACTTAAACTTATCGGGATCTTTCACATTGTATGACAACGAAAAATTTTTTTGATCTATTCCTATTCTATTTCTTTTAGTACAACCAAATAAATATTTAAACCGAAAAAATTTTTTTTTTTTTTTTTTTTTTCGCTCTTTCTAAATATCCAACCAATTTTTATTTTTTTTATTTTTTTTTGAGGGGAGAAATTATGTCGGCAACGGATTCGATTTCGGATACATTTTATAATGATTATTTGTTACCATTTGTATATCATGCAAATGCGACAGCACAAAGAAATGAATTGATCGCTCCCTTAATTAAAGAAGCTTCAGTTAATACAATTTTATTTTTAAGTGTTGGTTTTGCAGTTTTGGTCATACTGTTATCTTATGCTGTTAAATCAATTCTCGTAAGTATATCAATTCAAATGTTAATATATTATATTCATATTTACCCATTTGCTCAAATAATTTATTCAATTGAATTGATAATACAGTATGTTAGACGTCAACCAAATGAACCGCCAATTGTACCTTATTGGATTCCTATGCTTGGTTCGGCTGTAACTATGGGAAGAGATCCGATTAAATTTTACAGAAAATATCAACAAAAGGTAAGGTTTATTACTTACCTTTAGAATGCTATAAGAAATTTGATTAATCTTTTTTTTTTAGTATGGAAATTATTTTACATTTATATTACTAGGTAGAAGAATGGTAACGTGTTTAGGAACTGAAGGAAATAATTTTGTATTTAATGCGAAATTAGCAAATGCATCGGCTGAAGACGCTTACAAATCTTTAACTGTGCCCGTATTTGGCAAAGGAGTTGTATATGATGTACATAATTCAGTACTTATGGAACAAAAAAAGTCAGTAATTTTTTTTTTTTTTTATTTTTAAAAAAAACCATCTAAATGAATTTTTTTTATTAAAAAAAAAAAAAAAAAAAAATTGCCACTTTTTTTTTATGAACAGATTTGTTAAATCTGGATTATCTAATGAAAATTTAAAGGCATATGTACCAATGATTGAAATGGAAACTAAAAATTATTTTTCAAGATGGAATAAAACATCAGATATTCAAGATATCCATAAAGCAACAGCTGAATTAATTATCATGACAGCATCTAGGTGTTTGTTGGGTGATGAAGTTCGCTCAAAATTAGATGAATCATGTAAGTGAACGATCGAAATGTTACGAGATCTTTTTTGTTTTTTTTTACAAAAAATAATTTAACCATATTATTTCCTTTTCTTCTTCCGATAGTCGCTCAAATCTTTCATGATTTGGATGGTGGATTTAAACCAATTAATTTCTTGTTTGAAGATTTACCGCTTCAATCAAATAAATTAAGAGATATAGCTCATGTTAAAATGCGTCATTTCTTCATGAATATCATGAAAGATCGTCGAGAAAAAGGAGTTACGGATCGTACGGATATTATGCAATATTTAACAACCAATTGTCAATACAAGAACGGCAGAAAATTGTCTGATGAAGAATCGGCTCATATCATGATCGCAATGTTAATGGCAGGACAACATACTTCATCCACCACAACTGCGTGGGCATTGCTTTATCTAGCAGCTCAACCATCTCTATTTAATGAGTTGCGTCAAGAACAGATTGACGTGTTAGGAAGTTTAGATGAATCATTAACTTTTGATGGGATTAAAAAACTTACACTTCATGATAATGTTGTTAGAGAAACTCTTAGATTGCGTCCCCCTATTCTCACTATTATTAGAAAAGTTATTAAAGATTTACCTATTCCTGGTACTCAATATGTCATACCAAAAGATTCTTTTATTCAAGCTTTACCTACTATTTCTCAACGTTCTGAAGATTATTTTGAAAATGCTGAAACTTTTAATCCTAATAGGTGGATCGATTTCGATCAACTTAATAAGGAGAGAGATGATGATTTGGTTGATTATGGTTTCGGTGTTTTACACTCCGCTAGCGCGAAATCTCCTTTCCTTCCATTTGGTGCCGGTAAGAATTAACCTATATATTTATTATTTTTTTAAAAAAAAAAATAAAATAAAAATAATTTATTATAACAATTTTTTATTACGAACAGGTCGACATAGATGTATTGGCGAACCATTTGCTTACTTACAAATTAAAACTATTCTTGCCGTATTTGTTAGAATGTATGATCTTGTTTTACATGAAAACAAGTTTCCGGAATGTGATTTTACTACGATGATGGTTCTACCTAAAAATCCTCTAGTGCAATATACTAGGAGAGAATAATTCATACTGTAATTTATTAATGAAAAGTTTGTATTTTAATAAAATATAAGGATTTTTCTGCTTCGTTATATTTATTATTATACTTATACAAATAAAGTCGGAAATTAATTTAAAAGCGCTTTGTCATTAATCGTAATCGAATTGAATTTATAATTCTGAGTATTAAGAAATGTTTACCTGTTAAGCTTTTCCAGTAATTCTATTCTATTCTATTTAAATTGAATTTACCTAATAAATATTACTTATATTTATTTCATTATTTACATGTATGTATTGTATTAAAAAGTATTTATATATTATGAATGATTTTAATAAGTTTATCAAGAAAGTTTTTTCCTATCAACTTATAAAACTATTTTATTAATCTCATCCACGGCATATTTTACTAATTCAAAAGTAATTTCCTACGACTCACCTGCGACATACCAATTCAAAGTAATTTTTTTGACCATTCAGGATTTTGTATTTCGAGATTTTGGATTTCAAGATTTTGGACCTTTTCAGGATTTTGAGTTTCGAGATTTTGGATTTTGAGATTTTGTACTATACCCATTAAATCTTCATATTTAAAGTAATATTCAAGTTTATAATATTGTTAATTAGTAAAATCAACATTCTTTAAAGATTAATAAAAAAAGAATTATCACGTAACTATGATGATAAATATTAAAAATGAAGAAGTGAATAAATATATTATTATAATAACTAGTTAAAATTTATTAAATATATTATATTATATATACTATTCTTTTAGATTGTAGAAGGTTAACAAGTGCTTATTTACTATAAACTTATTTCTGATTTACTTTTATAAAAAAATTAAAAATTTTTTTTATAATATATATTATAATAATTTTAAAAATTTGTAATTTTAAAAAATTGAGCATAACGTTAATTTTTAGTAATATTAATATTATAAATTTATTATGAATGGTAACTTTAATTATTATAATTTTTTATGATTTATTTAATTTTTATAAGTAATAAATAACTTAATTAATTCATAAACATATGAATTCTAAAAGAAATTTTTAAAAAATTATTATAATAAATATTTTAAAACTTAATTTTAACAATTGAATTATTTAAAAATCTAATAATCTAAAAATTTCTTCTAATTAATTTGATAAAATAAATATTAAACTATATTTTTTAAATAATTATTATATTACTAAAATTAATATTTAATGTTTATTGAAAAATTAATACATTTTTAAATTAGTAATATATTATATTTTCTTTAAGTTAAAAGTAACTTATTAATAAAATTTATCAGAGTTTAGAATTAATAAACGAATTAATTAAATTCATTACTATTATCCTTTTTATATTTTTGATTGTGATTTTAATTTAATAAACTGAATTAACATTTTGATTATTTAATTTGAATGATTAATAAGTTAACAATGTTTTTAAATTCAACTTTCATTCTTTTGATTCATTAAAATCTAATTCATTTAGTAATATTGTAAAATCATATGCTTATATACTAATAGTTCATCATTAATAAAAATGTTATTTTCTATTGCTTTTTCAATTAAAAGCTTAAAGGCTCTTTGATTTGTGAAAATTTTATTTTTAACTTGTCTTTGAAGTGAAGCTTCATAAGAATCTGAAATTAAACTACTTTTCTTTTTTTTTAAAATAACTGGATAACACTCTTATAAGAGTGTTATCCAGTTCAGCTATAATGTTATCTAGTTGCAAGTAGATTATTACCTAGTTATAAGTATATTGTTATCTAGTTACTGTTTTTAGTGTTCTGTGACCCTACTATTGCTTTATTGCTATCCACTTGATTTTATTGCTCTATAGCTTTTTTATTGCTTTGTAGATATTTGCTTGATTTATTACTCTGTCCTCTTTTTATTTTTTTTTTAACTATCTGCCTGTTTTCATTGTTCTGTGGCCTTTTTGTGATCAAGATACTAGGCCGGCATTGATTGCTAAAAATAATATTATAATCAGATGATATAGTCAAATTACATGACTTTATTTAGTTAATTTCAGCATTCTTAGGTCGCCCAAAATTATGGAATATAATGCTAGTCGAATTATTGTAATTTACTGCGCCAAAAAAAATTATGTGCGTAATATACTCTCAGAATCTTTCTGTCACTTTTCTATTACTTTCCTGCTACTTTTAAGGTTCTGACTGGAGGATCTAATGGTTAGAGAATCAGAAGTACTAAGATCAGCTTATGTAATTACTAAGAATTAGTGCTGAACTTGCTTGCAATCCTACTCTCATTTAATTGCTGAGTTGAGGCATGAAGTGTTAAATTTGCAATTCATATATTTTCCTTCTCGATTGCCATCTCTTGATTGCTGGATGAAACATGAAGTACTAAATTTACAATCCATCTATTTGCTGAAGATGTGTTGCAATCTATTCACCCACTTTTTATTATTAGTCAGGCACATACGAAGTGCCAGTGTTGTACCATTCTTACAATTCTGCCTTTTGTGACCCTTTTGATTGCCAAGGATGAGATACAAAGTACTGAATTAGTTCAGGCTATATTGTTTTCATACTCTTTTTTTATGTATTCTCCTGAATCTTTCTGCCTTCCCAATCTCTTTCCTGCCTATCAGCGGTAGTACACCAAAGCATAACTTCTTATTTTCTTCTTATATATTATTCTACTTTGGTGTACTACCAAATTTATACCTTATTTTTTGCTCTTACATTCCTAGAACTCTTTTTCGTATAGTTTCTACACTGGGATACTTTGGAGTACTACTATATCGATTATTTTTAGGCATTATTATATTGATTACTTTTGGGTACTACTACATCGACTACTTTTAGGTATTATTACATCGATAACTTTTGGATACTACCACATTGACTACTTTTGGATACTACTACATCGACTACTTTTGGATACTTTCACATTGACTACTTTTGGGTATTACCACTAACCCAGTATTTTGCTAACAAGCATATTCGCTCAAAATTTTTATTTTGAAGATTTACAAGTTTCTATGTAATTTTATACTGCTTTCTTATATATATACCATGCTACTTGTGTAAAAAAAAATGGCTTAAAAAATATATAAAAACTTTACAATAAACTTTCTAGATATTTTAATGATCTGTCTGAAGCAGATATAGACGAGATCATCAAATTATATGGATAAGTACTCTTAGCTGAAATTGCCACACCTTTACTAGAATACTTATAATATTATTTATATATTTTTTTCTCGTGCAATAATACTAGCTAACTTCAATTTCTATCTTCAAACTTCTGATCTTCAATCATATAATCCGACCTTAAATATGCCTAGAGGTGTAAATCGCTAGTCTGAATGTATCAGTCACTTTTTTCTTTCGACTTGGCACTCCATAAATTCCATATTTTTTTCCTGACTACGAACCATATAATTGCAATAAGTAATAAGGTAAGTATGGAATATATTAACATAAACGACATTAAGAAGTCTGCAACAATAGGAATGACCTGTACTAGAGGTATTGTTTGAGATGATAACACTGTTTTTGCGCTACCTGATTGCTTCATAACCCCTTTCCTTGAAATAGATTTTTCAGAATGTGCTGGTCGACTATAAACGGATTGATTAGGTAGGGTAACTGCCTGATTTCTCAAAACCATCTCATTCCAGGGTAATAGTTCTTGCAAAACCTCTAATATATGTTCTCTAGCAAAACTTTTATCGAATTCTATAACCTTATCTTCAAGACCGTGCTTATAGACGAGAAATCTTAAATCATCACTGAGCTAACCTGGTAGTTTTTGTGATAAATCGTTCATAGACGGGGATGGAGGATCTACTTCATTATCCTTTTTTGATACTAACTCTTGAAGACGAGAATTTTCCTCTATTAAATTTAATCGTGCTGAAGACAAAGCATCTCTTTCCTGACTAGTTATCTCATGTGTCGCTTCTATCCCTTTTCCATGTATTCTATTTCATGTTTTTTTGAATTAAAATCCTCCTTTACCCATTCCAATTCAAGCCTGAGAGAATCAATTTCTTTAGGTTCGAATGAGTTTATTTGGGCTGGCTCCTCTATCACCCCTCCCACTACATTCGAATCACAGAACACCAGATCTAGTTTCAAGTCCTCTAACTTACCTTCCAATTCAACTACCTTAGTTTCGAGAGAAAGAATCTTGACCTTGTCAGTGAACGAAGCTTTTTGGGCCAAAATTGCCTCTCTTTTCAGAGTTTTAATATTTGATTTAAGCGATTTGATTTCAGCAGTATATTTGACTTCAAGTTCACATTGACTCTCAGAATGAGACTTCCGTTCAGAAATAAGTTGGGATCTAATTTTAGCGCTAGACGCATTTAACTAGCTAATCTTATTTCCAATATCCTCCTCTTACTCTGAATACTCCAAATTTTCAGCCTGTAACTTTTCATTGAAGTCGATAATTTCAGAGTTAAAATCAATAGCAGTTCTTAATTTTTTTTCGAGCTCTTACTCATATATACTACCCAGCCGATGTCCTCTATCTTTTACATCCTTCAACATATGCACATTAGACATAATCTTGGCATGGTTATATAGCAGAAAAAAAATACGCGTAACTAAATTTCATTTATAGGATATCTTTTATTTTTTCTTGTCAAAATAAAAAATCAAATATCTTTTATTGAAAAACATCAGTTTTCATCATTTTTTATTATTTTTTATCAGTTTTTATTGTTTTTTATTGTTCAAAAACCATAAATATTATTTTTTATCATTCTAAAATATTGTTAGAAAATAATGGAGGAATTATACCTAGCCGATTTTTAAAAACTCATTATCGATAAGGTGTTAGTGTTTTAACGCCTGAGCAGATCGAGGAAATTAGATGCCTTAAAAATAAAGTTCCTGCGTATATAATATTAAGGAATTACTATATCAATAAAGATCGCGTCTCTGATATATGGGACGATTGTGAACGTCTGCAACAGAGTGGGAAATATGTATTAGCAGATATGTTACCAGAACTATTTAACTATAATGATACAGTTCACTTTAAGAACGATCCTTTAGGTCCTCCAAATATTTCCTCAGAGAATCACAGTGAATGTGACATTGTTTCTGATAGCAAGAAAAAAAAGTCTGAAGGAAAGAAGTCGAAGTCTAAGTCCACGTTAGCTTTGCTAACATCATTTATTGAGACTCAGCCAATCCCAGCTTCAAAGAAGAATACAAACAATATGGATGCATTGTATGAGAAGATGGTCAAAAAAAGCACAAAAATTTTAGATGAAAAAAAGAAGCGTTATCCTGAAAATAACTCGCCTATTCCTTAAGAAGACTTTCGCAAAACTCATTGATTTCTGCATTGAACTTGAGAGCATTGAAAAGCTTCTTCTCAAGTTCTTTTATATGAATTATCATATTCTCATAGTTTATGTGTTTTTTTTAATACATTATCATCTTCACTTAAGTCTTGCAAGTCCTATAAAATTTTATTTGAAATCATGGGATCATCACATTTGGAAGTAATGTTTGTGCAATTCATCTCGAGCTTGTTCTTGACCTTATGCATGGTGACTGGAATAGTAAAATCCTTTCCATTATGGTGGAGCTTTAACTCATTTTTGTTCCAATCAATTGCGCATCTGTATTTCTTGAGAAGAGAATTAGAAAATATTAGCATTGGCTTAGAGTATTTCACAACCACAAAATCTTCATAAATGATATAACCCAAAGCCAAGCTTATTAGTAAATCATGAACAACCCCAACAGATTCAATCAGAAGAGTAGCAATACCGCAAAGATCATATTTTATAGATTTATCGATTCCATACTTTACACGCTCAATAATATCAGGTGTTATAATAGGAAGTTTAACGCAAGAGTCCAATGCTATAGCTGGAATTTTAAGACATTTAATCTTGTATTTTACAGTTGCAATGCTTGTAGGAGGCTCCTTCTTCTGAACGAAATCTATTTCCATAGGACCATCCAAAACATCCTTCTCATCCAAATCTTAAGCTGAGACAAACTCACATTTTTTAGCTTGCTGAATTATGTATGGGAGATAATTCACAAATTCACTCTAAATTATTTTGCGAATAGTTTCTTCTAAAGACACCCGCCTAGTACCTTAGCTACCTTTCTCTGATGAAACATTACAGGTAAATGGTGAGTTATTATCCTGCTTTACCTTATGAGGCTTGGACTCATTATTAATTTTAGAGTTTGAGGACTTATCAGAATGACCATTCTGCTCAGCGTAATTCACTTTTTTT